AAAAAAAAAAAAAAAAAACGCAGACAAACAAGGAAATTCCTCGTCAGGTAGTGCAAATAGAGGTTCAGAAATAATCCTAAACCAAATTTCTGACAACAATGAAATTGAGAAGCAATATAAGTCGATCTCAAAAATTTAGAATTACAGTAAAATGTTTTATCCATAAACTTCAAGAAGAGAAATCTTGAGTCGTCGTCAAAGTGAAGTGCTTCAAAAAACATTCTCTGATCTTCACACGATGAAAAAATAAAATTAGAATTTTTACCCGATTTCCAAATTACCATTAGAATGCAAGTTACATTGCGAACCCAAAAAACAGTTTTCTGTCTATATTTCTTTCTCATCTACTAAAACAAGGAGTGTTCTCGGCCTAAAATTATTCAACTTTGTGCTTTAGAAAAGTACTACACTTATCCCACCTATCTTCTATCCCTAAAAACAAATTTTTAAGATGCATTTCTATGTATCTCATACAGTCCAATAAAACTATTTTTCTGTGATGTACCACATATAAGTATGGATATCAAAAACTGCAACTTTTTATATTTCAGCCTGGTCGAAATTCATTCTTTTCCTGTTCCGTACCTCCTACTGCTTCAGTAATACTCAATTACTTAAAACTGTGTTTGAACCAGTGTTTGCTAAACTTTTTTGCCCAACACTTCTTTCTGAAAAAAAAAAAAATGCTTTGTTGCCATTCTTCCCAGTTCGCTCTCTCCGTACTCGATTGTCAGGACTCACTTCTGTACACTTATCTTTAAAAACTTTAAGAACTTCAAAGCAATTTCCTAAACCGACCATAGAACTCGTACCGTTTAATCATTTTCCTGCGCTTTCATTCTCCATTCCCTTACTGCCTCTAAAGCCTTCATCGCCCCAGTCGATAACCACTAGTTACGAGAAAAAAACTTATAATACCTAAATATTACCGCTCTAATATGTCACAGTAGGTCTTACCACCACCAACTGCTTTAATCGAGAAAGGTTTTTAATTTCACAGCTTAAAATATTCGCAAACGAGCCACAGAGGAACTACTGTAGTCAAAACCAAACCCAAAACAGAAAAGTCACAAAGTAAATAAGAGCTATTTAAGATTTTTCACAAGAGTTCTTGACAGTTTTCTACATCCTCAACCCACTAAAATAATAGGTTCTTGGTTGAATCTATAAAACTTCAGTTAAACAGACCCTTTCAGGAAGGACAGAAAACAATCGCATAAAGACCAGGCCTTACTGCGTTTAAGAGTCCCATCCAAACAAAATGCTTGTTTTAACCCACCTTCCTCTTTTTTAATATGAAATCCCCTACCCTCCTGATTTATCTTCAATAGCTTCAGACTCGCCCAACCATTTTGCGCCAACTCCCTTGTGGTCTAATGCTAAAATTTTTGTCTAATTCTTCATGCGTTTCAATACACTGCTTTGCCGTTGAAACTTGATGTGGTAGAGGGCAGTTGTTAAGTTTTTTAACTGTATGGCACCCTGTTTTATTTCTCTTAGAGGCTACTCCTTATCTTCTTAGAAGTGATTCTCCTGGTTTAGAACTCTATTCACAGCTCATCCACTTTTATAACACATAGCTGGCAGCGAAAACATAAAACAAAAGTCCGTGTCCAAAAAACTATCTTTAAGTATTTGTCCATGACAGTACTTGCAGCTCCTAATTGCTTTAACCCTTTTTTGACGCATATATCCCAGTGCTTTTTCCATAACGCCATTTTCAATTACTTCTTCGGCCACCTCATAAAATAGATCAATAAGCTCTATTCAAACTGTTTGAACGGCCTGATTAAGAAATATTTTTAGAAAAATCAAAAAATATCCGAAGAATATGGGAACTTTCAGCAGGGATGTCGTACTGGACCGATGTTACTCACCGCAGCTAATATCCGTTATACCACACGTCACCAAAGATGATGCGTTTTAAGATTCAATAAGAATCAAAACAGTATTTTAGCATCAGACCGTTATAACGATAGCAAGAAATGCAAGTAAAAGTCCGAATATTCTACGAGTTTGCCAGAGTTGAGAACCCAGAATACAAAAAACGAAATTAGTTTACCGGTAAAAAAAGCGTTTTCGCGGGTAGGTATTCCGGACTGCGATAGCGCTGAAGGTCAGAATTATAGGCAGAAAAGTTACGCATTTAGGAGTAAATTAAATCTCCCAACCGTCAATGCTCCGGCTACTGAAGGTGTGCCAAATGACTT